CCCCTGTTGCTGTGTCCCATCTCTGGAACATCCTGTCTTTGTTCACCTTGTCTATTTCACGCAGTATTTTGTATGTCGTTATCATGTCTCCCCTGACCCTCCTGTCCTCCAGTGTTGTCAGACCGATTTCCCTTAACCTTTCTTCATAGGACACTCCCCTTAGCTCTGGAACCAGCCTTGTTGCAAACCTTTGCACTTTCTCCAATTTCTTGACGTGTTTGACCAGGTGTGGGTTCCAAACTTTGGTGCCTGACATTCACAGTGTATAAAGTCTTGAACGATTCCTTACTGAGGTACCGTAACGTTATTCTCAGGTTTGCCAAGCGCCCATATGCCACAGCAGTTATCTGGTTAATGTGTGCTTCTGGCGATGCACTCGGTATTATACTTACTCCTAGGTCTTTCTCCTTGAGTGAGGTTTGCAGCCTTTGGCCTTCTAGCCTATACTCTGTCTGCGGTCTTCCTTGTCCTCCTCTGATTTTCATGACTTTACATTTGGCGGGGTTAAATTCCAGGAGCCAGTTTCTGGACCACACATCCAGCCTATCCAGGTCTCTTTGTAGACCTGTCTGGTCTGCGTCTGATTTAATTCTCCTCATTAACTTCACGTCATCTGCAATCAGGGACACTTCTGAGTCTCTCTCTTCCATCATGTCGTTCACATATACCAAGAATAGCACTGGTCCCAGGACTGACCCCTGTGGGACCCTGCTCGTCACTGGCGCCCACTGTGATACCTCATCACGGACCATGACTCGCTGTTGCCTCCCTGTTAGGTATTCTCTAATCCATTGCAGTGCCCTTCCTGTTATACGTGCCTGTTCCTCTAGCTTCTGTACTAATCTCTTGTGAGGAACTGTGTCAAAGGCCTTCTTGCAGTCCAAGAAAATGCAATCAACCCACCCCTCCCTCCCATTTCTTACTTCATTACCTTTTTTCATAAAACTCTAGTAGGTTTGTGACACAGGATTTGCCTTCCATGAATCCGTGCTGACTGTCGTTTATAATCTTGTTCCGCTTCAGGTGCTCCACCACTCTCCTCCTGATAATCTTTTCCAAGACTTTGCATACTATACATGTCAGTGACACGGGTCTATAATTAGTGCTTCATTTCTGTCTCCCTTCTTAAAGATGGGGACCTACATTTGCCTTTTTCCCATACTTCAGGTAGTTGCCCAGTTTAAAGGGGAAGTTTTGAAGATTTTGGTTAGTGGCACACGTAGTGTCCCTGCTCCCTCTCTAAGGACCCACGGAGAGATGTTGTCTGGTCCCACCGCCTTCGAGGTATCAAGGTCACTTAGGAGCTTCTCCACCTCCTCCTCAGTTGTGTGTAATTCATCCAACACTTGTTGGTATACCCCTTTGTTGCTGTACCCCACCGTTTTGTCTTCCCGTTGTCCCTTCAGCCTCCACTGTAAATACTTCCTGAAATCTCATGTTGAGCTCCTCACATACCTCCTGGTCATTTCTTGTGAGCTCCCCACCTTCTTTCCTCAGCCTAATTACCTGGTCCTTGACTGTTGTCTTCCTCCTGATGTGGCTGTAGAGTAGTTTCGTGTCAGACTTCACTTTCGATGCTATGTCATTTTCATACTGCTGCTGTGCCTCCTTCCTTATCTGTGCATACTCGTTTCTGGCACGTCGACTAATCTCTTTATTCTCCTGATTTCCCTTTTCCTTCTGTACTTTTTTTCCCTTCTCTAGAGCACTTTGCTTTTGCCTCCCGCACCTTTGGGTAAACCAAGGGGTCGTTCTGTCCTTCCATTTTTCTGTTACCCTTGGAACAAACCTTTCCTCGCCTCCTTGCATTTTGTTGTTACAAAGTCCATCATTTCGTTTACTGATTTTCCTACCAACTCCTGTTCCCACTGAACCTCCTGCAGGAAGGTCCTCATTCCTGTGTAGTCCCCCCTTTTATAGTTTAGCTTTTCCCTTTCTACTGTTACCCTCTCCACTTTTAGCTCCACGATGTATTCAAAGCTCATAACTACGTGGTCACTAGCTCCAAGGGGCCTTTTATATGTGATGTGCTCAATGTGTGAGCTACTCAGGGTGAACACGAGGTCCAGTCTTGCTGGTTCATCCTCCCCTCTCTCTCTGGTAGTATCCCTAACATGTTGGTGCATGAGATTTGCCAGCACCACATCCATCATCTTGGCGCTCCATGTTTCGGGACCCCCATGTAGCTCTAGGTTTTCCCAATCAATCTCCCTGTGATTGAAGTCGCCCATGACCAGTAACTTCACTCTACTGAGTGAGCCCTTCTTGCCACCTCAGCTAGTGTGTCCACCATTGCTCTGTTGCACTCATCATATTCCTCTCTTGGCCTCCTGCAGTTCTGTGGTGGGTTATACATCACTGCAATGACTACCTTGTGTTTCCCTGACTGAACTGTACCTACTATGTAATTCATTTCTCCAATCTCGTCCATACCTTCCATTTCTTGATAATCCCACCGGTTTTTTATTAGTAGTGCAACCCCCCCCCCCCCTCTTCTTCTATCCTTCCTCGGATCTGATATCCGGTGGGAAGATTCATCTGTTATTTTCCCAGCGAGTTTTGTTTCGTAACCGCTACAAGTCTGGGGACAACTCCTTGATTCCTTTCATGCCGCTCCCCACATTTATTCGTTATTCCATCCACGTTTATGTACCAAACCCTTAACTTCTTCAATAACTGTGGTTTTGGGAGAGAGGTGGGTTAAGGAGAGCAGGTGCTCTGGCAGGGGCCTATAGGGGGCTGGTGTGGGGGTGGGGTTTGTGGTGTGGGGTTCTGGGGGAAAGGGCCTATGGGGGGTTTCAGTGGGGGTGTGGGTGGTGGTGAGGGGGGATGGGGGGAAAATGGCCTATGGTGGGTTTCAATGGGGAGGGGGTTTTGGTGAGGGGGGTGGGGATAGAGGGTACAGTGTGTGATTGCTGTGGGTTACTGTAGGGTGGGTTTGTGTTGAGGGGGATGGGGGGAGAGGGTACATTGTGTGGGTTACAGTGAGTTTCTGTGGGGGTGGGGTTTGAGCTGAGGGGGATGTGCAGGTTACTGAAGGTTACTGTGGGGGTGGGGTTTATGCAGAGGGGGATGTGTGGATTACTGTGGGTTTCTGTGGGGGTGGGGTTTGTGCCGCGGGGGATGGGGGCAGAGGGTACAGTTAGTGGGTTTTGGGTTAGGTCGTTTGATTGCTTTGGGATTGCCATGGTTGTGTTCCTTCTGTGGGTGGTACTGGAGGGGGATGTGTTTGTTCTTCCACGTGGGCCTGATTTCTCCTGCTCTCCACCTTCCTTGCCTCCCATTCCTCCTTGCAACGTTGCACCCTCTCTTTCAGTGTCATCCTTTCTTCTTGTGTTCTGTCTCGGTCGAGGTACACACTCTGGAACGCCTGATTGTCCCTTAGGTGTGCTTTCTCCTGCAGGATCCGGTTTCGAGCTGACTCTGCCTTGAAAATCACTTTGGACGCTCTTTTCCCCTTGAAAACCACCCAATTCTCCAAAAATTTGTCAGCTAAGTCATGCCGCCCTCTCCTATCTCCTATTGTGTGTACGTGTGTGTACTCACCTAATTGTGGTTGCAGGGGTCGAGACTCGGCTCCTGGCCCCGGCCAGGAGTGCATGTGTGTGTGTGTGCGCGCGTGTGTGGGGGGGGCACAGTTGTTTTGAACACATTTAAACATGCGGTTGTATAAGAATCTAATACAAAGTGGGAGTTGTCACAGTTACTTTCTGCCATTGACAGTTTTTGGAAGATTGTGAAGAGAAGTTGTAAAGGTTAGCTGATGAATTTGGGAGGGTGTGTAAAAGAAGGAAATTAAAAGTAAACACAGGACACTGCAAGGTGATGAAAGTAACAAATGATTTAGACAATGAAAGATTGAATATCAGATTGGAAGGAGGTATGGAGGAAGTGAATGTGTTCAGATATTTGGGAGTGGACGTATTGGCGGATGGGTCTATGAAAGATAAAGTGAACCACAGAATTGATGAGGAAAAAACAGGGTGGATGGTGCACTGAGGCATCTCTGGAGACATCGAATGTTATCTGTGGAGCCAAAACAGGAAATGTATGAAAGTACGTATAGTGGTACCAAGACTCTTATATGGTTGAGAAGCATGGGTTGTGAATGTTGCAGTGAAGAGGAGGCTGGAGGCAGTGGAGATGTGGTGTAAATATTATGCAGAGAATTTGTAGCTTGGAAATTAGGAGGAGGTGTGCGGTTACTAAAAGTACGTATTATCCGGAGAGCCGAGTGATTGTTGTGGTGGTTATGGCATTCAGAGAGGATGGAGCAAAATAGGATGACTAGGAGGGCATAGAAATCTGTAATGAAGGGAAGGAAAGGGGTCACCCAAGGAAAGGTTGAACAGAGAGGGATAAAGGAGGTTTTGTGTGCAAGGGACTAGGACATTCAGGAGGCATGTGTGAGCCTGTTAGATAGGAGTGGACGCAAATGGGTTTTGGGACTTGCTATTGAAGTGTGAGCAAGGTAACAATTGTGAAGGGATTAAGGGAAACCTGGTTAGCCAAACTTATGTTCTGGAGATGGGAAGTACAGTGCTTTCAATCTGAAGGAGGGGGCAAGGTTATTTGCAGTTAGGAGAGGTGTCTCAACTGTAGTATCTTCATGCTTCCATCAAGACAATGATAAGAGTGAATGATGGAGAAAGTGTTTCTCTTTTGGGTCATCCTACCTTGGTGGGAGATGGTCAGTGTTTTAAAAAAAAATGTCTAATGGTGTTATTACTGGAGTGCATCATAAATTTCCATTATATCTTGACAAAATGGGGCAACAACACATTTGTAACCAGTGCTTGAGTGAGCCACTAACTATTTCAACAAATGCTGGTGAGTGCATTTATGAGTCTAGTGCCAAGCTTAATATAAAAGCCACATGCTGTTAATTGGTAATGTTCACAAAACTGAAGCATACATTCACTATGTGAATTTATTCTGTAATATCTCACAGTTGGTAGTATTACATGTCCTGAGCTAGTTAAAACATATTTTTTATTTACCTTGAAGGACACCATGACAATTTGGTAATGGGCTTTGTTGCATCAAGGTACAGTACTGGTCGTTCTATGCTTCTTAAATCCCAAATAGAAACCTGAAATTTCAAAGGTATTTGATAGTTAAATTAAAGAGGGATAACATTAAAACTATAATTATCTTCAAGCTCATTATTTGGATGCTTGTTCTGTGTGCAAGTGATAAACAAATAGGAGTAACATGAGTTGAACTTCTCCATGGGCAAGTGGAACAGAATTCTTCCTCAATAAGCCATGCGTGTTGTAAGAGGCAACTAAAATGCCGGGAGCAAGGGGCTAGTAACCTCTTCTCCTGTATACATTACTAAATGTAAAAGGAGAAATTTTCGTTTTTCCTTTTGGGCCACCCCGCCTCAGTGGGATTCGGCCGGTGTGTTGAAAGAAAGAAAGAATGAGTTGAGCTATGTTCACAATGTCCAAACTTCACTACTAAATTTAGATTTTATAATATTTTATTTTCGTTTTTTTTTATCACAAACACTAGCTCCCTTTCGATGCCATTCTAGCATATTCTAACATATTCTGACCTTTTCAAAAAATTATTTTCAGTGCCTTTTATTTTGTGTAGCTTTCTTTTCACAGTTTACAATTATGGCCCATTGTTCACCATGGCCCAGTCCTTGACTAGGCCTCACGGTGGATCAGGGCCTGATCAACCAGGCTGTTACTGCTGGCCACATGCAAACCAATGTACAATCCACAGCCCAGCTAGTCAGGGACTGACTTTAGGTGCCTGACCAGCTTCCTCTTAAATACAGCCAGGGGGTCTATTGGTAATCCCCCTTATGTATGGTGGGAGGCAGTTGAACAATCTTGGGACCCTGACACTTATTGTGTTGTGTCTTAGTGTATTCATGGCATCCCTGCTTTTCATTGGGGGGATGTGCTGCCTGCCGAGTTTTGCTTTTGTGATTTCCATGTGCAGACTTGAGACTAGTTCCTCAAGGATTTTCTAGGTATATATTATCATGTATCTTTCTTGCCTGCATTCCAAGGAGTACAGGTCAAGGGACTTCAAACATTCCTAGTAATTTAGGTGCTTTATTGTACAGTACTTATATGTGGAGTGACAGTTCTCTGTATATTCTCCAAGTCTGCAATTTCGCCTGCCTCAAAAGGGGCCGTTAGTGTACAGCAATACTCTACCCTAAAAAGAAACAGTAATCTGAAGAGAATCATCACTGGCTTGGCATCCCTAGTTTTGAAGGTTCTCATTATCCATCCTATCATTTTCCTAGCAGATAAGGCAGAGACATTATGATCTTTAAAAGAGAGATTCTCTGACATTATCACTCCCAGGTCCTTCACATTAGTTTTTTGGTCTATTGTGCGGCTGGAATTTGTTTTGTACAGTAAGTCCTCACTTAACGTTGTTTTGTTAGAACGCTGATGAGAAAAAAATTTATTTCCAGCCAGGGCCACTGCCTGTGTGGAGTTTGCATGTTTTTTTTTTTTTAACTCCATGGTGGTAGGAGGTGCTCCTTACAATATTTGTTTTGCAAACATTTATTCCTTGATTTAACCCTGTTGCAACGAGTGCTGAAGGTATACTTTGTACCCCTGATGTTTATATCAATTAGCCTATGGTAAATTTGGTTTCATTATAAGTTGTTTTGCTTAATGTTGTGGTTTCCAAGAACTTATCAATGACTAAGTGAGAACTTATTGTACTCTGATCCAGTTTTTATTTCCTCGAGTTTTCCACTGCGGAGAAATTGAAATTTGTCTTCACTGAACTTCACATCGTTCTTTGAGACCTATTTCAAGACTTGGTTAACCCTTTGACTGTTTCCGACGTATAAATACGTCTTACGAGCCAATGTTTCTGACGTATTTATACGCACAAATTCTAGCGGCTTCAAATCAAGCGCAAAATGCCTGGTAGGCCTACATGAGAGAGAATGGGTCTCAGTGGTCGGTGTGCACCCTGTGAAAAAAATCTGGGACCCAGCGGTGCATTGTGGGAATGCCATGTTGTTAGTCCATTTTCACCATGCCTCTCGGTAAGAAGTTCCTCACTCCTTGGCGGATTGGAGGTCTTTTGTTCCCAAGTGATAGCTCTAACAGCGATGAGAATGTCAGTGACAGTGAATTCCAGGGTTTTGAAGTGAGGTTACCGAAAAGTGCCAGGATAACGTAATTAGTGATGAAAACCCAGATGACCCACAACCTTCCACCTCTGGTGCTGGGCCAGCTTGTTCACGTTCACGTTCGCCTGTACCAGGACGAAAGAGGAAATTACAGTGGACCCCCGCATACCGTCAGCATCACATAACGTTTAATCCGCATACCGCTCGCTTTTATCGCAAAAATTTTGCCTCCCCTTACCGCTCAAAAACCCGCCTCACCGCTGTTCGTCCGAGACGCATCCAATGTGCCCCCAATAGCCAGCCTCAATGTGCCGCGGTGGCATTGTTTCCCAGCCAGCCTCCACGGTAACATCCAAGCATACAATCGGAACATTTCGTATTATTACAGTGTTTTTGGTGATTTTATCTGCAAAATAAGTGACCATGGGCCCCAAGAAAGCTTCTAGTGCCAACCCTACAGCAATAAGGGTGAGAATTACTATAGAGATGAAGAAAAAGATCATTGATAAGTATGAAAGTGGAGTGCGTGTCTCCGAGCTGGCCAGGTTGTATATAAACCCCAATCAACCATCGCTACTATTGGTGGTACAGCTGCTGCTGCTGCTGTACCACCGTCAGCTGCTGCTGCTGCTGCTGCTGTAGCACCGTCAGCTGCTGCTGCTGTTGTACCACCGTCTGCTGCTGCTGCTGCTGTAGTACCGTCTGCTGCTGCTGTAGTACCGTCTGCTGCTGCTGTAGCAAACGTCTGCTGCTGCTGTAGCACTGTCAGCTGCTGCTGCTGCTGTACCGTCAGCTGCTGCTGTAGTACCGTCTGCTGCTTGTGTAGCATTGTCTGCTGCTGCTGTAAACACTGTCAGCTGCTGCTGCTGCTGTAGCACTGTCAGCTGCTGTGCTGCTGCCCGTAGCACCGTTGTTGGTGTGGCTTTTTGAGAATACCAAGAAACAATTAACCCCAGAGGATTTGCCCCCCAGGATAACCCAAAAAGTCAGTGTCATCGAAGACTAACTTATTTCCATTGGGGTCCTTAATTTTGTCTCCCAGGATGCAAACCCCCACCAGTCGACTAACACCCCGGTGAAACAGGGAAAAATGCCTGGAACTAGTGCTCATATTGGTGAATTTAAAGCCAGCAAAGGTTGGTTTTTAGAGATTTAAAAAAAACATAGTGGCATACACAGTGTGATAAGGATGTTCTGAGAAAAAAAATACCAAACAGGACCTACAGTACTCGGGAGGAAAAGCACTCCCAGGACACAGTGTCTCATCGTCATTGCTGCATCTTCAATAAAGGTAAGTGTCTTTTTATTCTTCATTTAGTATAGTAGTACATGCACAATATATATTGTGCATGTACTACTCTACTATTGTGCATGTATCCTTCTCTTTGTGTGTAGGAAAATGTATATTTCATGTGGTAAAAATTTTTTTTTCATACTTTTGGGTGTCTTGCACGGATTAATTTGATTTCCATTATTTTTTAAATGGGAAAATTCATTCGCATACCGATCATTTCGCATAACAATGAGCCCTCTTGCACGGATTAAAGTCGCTATGCGGGGGTCCACTGTATTTGGTCGTGCACAACACCCAGATGTTAGCAGTGATAGTGATAGTTCTAGTGACAGTGAGAGTGAATATTCCCCAGTGAAGCGGCAGTATGTACAACGTAGCATGCGGTCTGGTAGTGTTTCAGATGTTGTTCCAAGGGGAAGGAGAAACTCTGGGAGCACATCCCGTGGCCCTACACCACGACCTGATAGTGAGGATGACGATATTGTAACAATGGGTATGAATGATGTGAGTGATGGAGCAGGCAGTGGTGGTGATAGTGAGGGTGGCACGGCCCATGTGGCACCATCAGCAGGCCATGCTACTACCCATGCTGCTGACTCCACAACAACCAGCCTCACCCTCCCCCACACTCCCACAACCTGCACAACCACAACCACGGTACAATATCCAGACCCCACCAGCAGACAGCATCTGGGATTGGCAGGACGGTGACGAGTTTGTTCCCAGTCCCCATGACTTTGATGAAACACGAAGTGGAATAAAGCCATCTTGTCCACTTGGGAACAATGCCAGTGAACTGGACTGCTTTGAGTTATTCTTCGAAGAACCCCCGATGGACATCATTGTCAGGGAAACAAACACATACTGTGATTACACCATGGCAAATACAATTCTCTCACCAAAATCACGGCTACACAAGTGGAAGGAGACAACTGTGGCAGAGATGTACCTGTTTTTTGCCACAATAATGCTTATGCCACATGTGTATAAGCACACTGTCACCACATACTGGGCACAGACGCCTGATTTCAACTCCAGGTTTAGTGACATTATAGGTGTCAATCGTTTCCTGATACTGTTACGTATGTTACACTTTTCAGACAAAACCAGGCCTGACAGAAGCGACAGGTTATGTAAGATCAGAAATGTGTTTATGTACCTGAAACAAAAGTGCTGCATTTTTTTTTTAAATCCCTTCAGGAGCTTGTTATTGATGAGTCCTTGATTTTATTTAAGGAAGACTTCATTCAAGCAATATATACCAAGGGAAGAGGAAACGCTTTGGTATAAAGCTATTTGTACTGTGTGATTGCAGAAGTGGTCTAGTTTTGGATATCATTGTGTTACACTGGCAGTAATACTTTGAGAGATACCATGAAGTTATTGGTATCTCTGGTGATGTGGGTTTGAACAATGATGGAACCATATCTTGGTAAGGGGCATATGTTATTTACTGATAACTGGGACACAAGCCCCTTACTCAGTGATTTCTTGCGAGCGAACTTGACAGACGTGTGGGGGCACAGTGCGTCGTAATCGCAAAACATATGCCAAGGTTCGACGCTGACACTCGCAGAGGTGAGGTGCAAGCCTTGCTGCCAATGACATCATGGCATTTCGGTGGCATGACAAACGTGATGTCACATTGTTGACATCAGTTCACAGAAATGAAATG